GCATTGGAACAGGCTGCCCAGAGAGGTGGGGGAGTCCCCATCCCTGGAGGGGTTCAAAAACCATGTAGATGTGGCACTTGGGGCCATGGTTTAGTGGGCATGGGGGTGTTGGGTTGATGGTTGGACTGATGATCTTGGAGATCCTTTCCAACCTTAATGATTCCTAGTTTTTACTTTCATCAAAAAATAATCCAGCCACCAAGGCAGGAAACATGAAATTATTACTGTACCCTGAATTGGTTTAGTAGTGGACTTGGCAGTGTTAGGTTAATGGTTAGACTGGATGATCTTAAAGGTCTTTTCCAACCTAAATGATTCGATGATTCTATGTCCTCCTTCTGCCACTGATGAAACACAAGCCTCCCCCCCGTAGACTTTTGGGGACGAGGTCTCCGTCTTAGAGCATTTCAGATCTTCGAGGACATAGTGGTGGCTTCAGGTGGTGCTTCAGGCTGTGGATAAAGTGCTTGCTTCTTTCCCATGGTGCAGGGGAGTTCGGGTCAGTGATGGAGGGGCATCTCAGCCAGCCGGAGGGCAGCCCGCAGAAGGTGGCTGTGAAGACCATGAAGCGTAAGTCATCACCCTGATCTCGCAGAACTTGGTGTTGTTTCTCCCAGTGGGTGCCAGCGCTCCTGCTACCCGTCTCAGGTGGTGCTCTCTCTGCATCCTGGCACCATTTTGTGGGGATGTCAGGAAGGGGCACTCATATCAGACAGCCAAGGATAGCAGAGACATCCCGGTGGTCCCTTCCCCCTGACCCAGGCTGGAGCTGTGCTGTGAAGGCAGATGGCAGCAGTGATTTGGGGTGTTAAAGCTCTTGGGGTTTTAAACCTCCTTTTTCTCTCCTTCCCAGTGGATAACTTTTCCCAAAGGGAGATAGAAGAGTTCCTCAGCGAAGCGGCATGCATGAAGGACTTCGACCATCCCAATGTCATCAAGCTCCTAGGTATGGGCTGTCACTCCCCGCCCTCCAGCTGGGATTTTGGCTGGGGAACCGGACCGGGGATTGCTTGGATCCTGCATAGATATCTGCGGGGGTAGTGTGGTGCCTTTGCCCACGGGGCTCTGCAACCTGTCTGCGTTTTCCAGGCGTGTGCATCGAGCTGAGCTCCCAGCAGGTCCCCAAGCCCATGGTGATTCTCCCGTTCATGAAATACGGCGACCTGCACAGCTTCCTGCTTCGCTCGCGGCTGGAGATGGCTTCCCAGGTAACGAGCGCAGGGAGCAGAGGGCCTTGCATCCGTGAGGAGCAAGGTGGGACTGTGCTGCTTCTGCAGACAAACCTGCCTTTATTTTTCAAGAACATCAAGAGGACTTGGTTGTAGTCCTGCTTCCTGCCTTTGTCAGGTGGCAGCGGTGGGATCCAGCTCCACAGAAGCCTGTGGGATTCTCGCCTTCCCTTCCCCAGGCTGTACAAGCCCAGTTATCTCAGCTTCTCTTTCAGAGAAGTTAGAGAAGCTTCTCTTTTCTTTTAGGACGAGAGGAAATGGGCTTAAGCTGCGCTTAAGCTGCGCCAGGGGAGGTTTAGGTTGGAAATTAGGAAAAATTTCTTTACGGAAAGGGTGGTCAAGAATTGGAACAGGCTGCCCAGAGAGGTGGTGGAGTCATCATCCCTGGAAGTGTTCAAAAAACGGGTAGATGTGGCACTTTGGGACATGGTTTAGTCTAGTCTACCCTTGATTGGCTTAGAGTAGACTTGGTAGTGTAGGTTAATGGTTGGACTGGATGATCTTAAAGGGCTTTTCCAACCTAAACGATTCGATGATTCTCCTTGTACACCATCTCCTCCAGCCTCATCTTAGCGGTCTCCTCTGGGCTCGTTCCAGCATGTCTTTCTCCTACTGAGGAGCCCCCCATGGGACACAGCATCCAGACGTGGCCCCACCAGTGCCAAATTAAGGGGAAGAATAGTTTCTCTTGATCTGCCCGCTGCTCTCTTGCTAATGCAGCCTGCTACCAGGTTGGCCTTCGCTGGCACCAAGGTGCACTGCGGAACCGCGGTCAACTTGCTCTACGCCAGGGTCCTTTTCTGCAGAGCTGCTTCCTAGCCAAAAACACGTGAAGGTAGCCAGTGGGAAAGGCAAGAAGGAAGCCACATCTAGTTGCAGGCTGCACTCCAGGGACACGGAAGGAGGAGGCAGAGGTGGGAGGGGTATCCACTGCTACGGCAAACCCCAGCGAGATGCGGTTTGCCAGGATGGGCTCTTCTGGCCAGCGGCACAGCCTGGCAGACGGTGCTTGGGGTTATTTCTAAAACAACTGTCCCCGCATCTGCAGCTCCTGCAGGCTTGTGATTCAATAAATCTTACGCTCTGAGGGCGTTAGCACAGCGGGGAAGAGAGGGGCCACAGTAGTTGCTGCTTTGGGCTCCTGGTGCTCTCCAAGGCCAGTGAGACCACTAGGATGTCAGCCCTGGACAGGGAATCCTTTCAGATCAAACCAAACGTGCTTCCCAAAGGGCTTGCGCTGTCTAACCCACACCTTCCCTTCCCAGTTTGTGCCCCTGCAGACGCTGGTGAAGTTCATGGTCGATATCGCCCTGGGGATGGAGTATCTGAGCAGTCGGCACTTTCTCCACAGGGATTTGGCAGCTCGAAACTGCATGTGAGTTTGTTTTCCTCTGCTTCGTCCCGGATAGATGAACACCAGTGGAAGCCCTGTGGTTTTACAGCACAACTTGGCTTCCTTCAATAAATCCTCCCTCGGTCTTGAGAGACGTGGGAAAAGAGCTCAGCCTCAGGTTTCCGCTTCAGAATTCGGCACCTCTCAAACTTTTCTATCTTGTCACCCCCATTTCCACCTGACAGGTTACGGGATGACATGATGGTGTGCGTGGCAGACTTTGGTTTGTCGAAGAAGATTTACAGCGGCGATTACTACCGTCAGGGCCGAATAGCAAAAATGCCGGTGAAGTGGATCGCCATCGAGTCCCTGGCTGACCGCGTCTACACCACCAAGAGCGACGTGGTAGGTCCGCGTGGCTGGGCAGCCAGGCGGCAGGAGGCGAGAGCCGGGGACCGATCCCCGGGTCGAGTCGTCTGCCCTCGCTGTGCTTTGTGACGGCTCTTGGACCCTGGCAGTGCAAAGCCAGAGGAGCGGGAGGCTGTCAGTAATGGGACGCGCTGACCTTTTGCTGCCTGCCCAGCGTCGTGGAATAGGTTTACTGAGTGGGCCGCTCGCCTCTTCCGTGGCGTCGCTTATTATTTCCAATTTTGGGGAGGGCAGGACTGGAGTGACAACTCTTAGCATTGTGCGAGGGCCCAGCGGACGCCGGGCAGTGACCTTTCCCCATGAAAAGCCTCATTCATCCCTCCTGGAAATGTCCCTTCAGCGTGCTTTCCCTTTGTCCTCGCAGTGGGCATTTGGCGTTACCATGTGGGAGATAGCGACCCGAGGGATGACGCCCTACCCAGGAGTGCAGAACCACGAGATCTACGAGTACCTCTTCCACGGGCAGCGCCTGAAAAAGCCCGAGGACTGCTTGGATGAGCTGTGAGTATCGTACCCCTCTTTCTGGGCTGTAGCACAGCCCTTTTGCTCTCTGCCCTGCGGATCGCCTGCGCATCGCTCGCCCTTAGCCGAGGTGCTTTCTGCGGGGTGCTGCTCTTCGTGCTTTGTGGCTCTCAGTTGCTGATGCCCTTTCTTTAAGGACGCAGCAACTCCTTGTGCTGTGGATTTGCGGCTTAGCGCTGAACGTGGCCGAAAGCCTGCGAAGCTGCGCATCACAGCGCCATTAAAAACCGTGCCGGTCTGCCCGCGCTCCCGCCTGCTGCAAACCTGCCTCCCGAAGTGGAGTGAGAGGGGTCTGTACCGGAGGGGGGGTCACCTTCCGCCTCACCCCCTCCATTTCTCCCACAGCCCCCAGAAACAACAGTTACGAAAGATTGGATTTTTTAAAAAATGGCAGGGATTTCACCTTTCCTTCCTTGTGGGGCTGACAGGCAGGGAGCTTACAAGAATGCGCGCGCAGGTTAGCTCAGAGGAAAGCTGGCCAGAGTGCTGCGGGTCAAATTTTAAGTGAAGGTATCACAGAAACAAAAACTTCAAACCCCTTAATATTTGCAGAATCTCCCGAGTTTTGTCCTGCCTAATAAAAGCCAGATCCCGGAGCAGGGCAGCGTATCGCGCAGGGAGGAAAAAACATCTCCTTAACTCCAGGCAAACTGGCGCAGAGAAATCCCAGCGAATATCCCGGGAGAAAGCGATGCGTTTGCGGAGCTGGGCTGTTGGCAGCCGGCAGCACGGGGAGGGTGGGAAGTGCCGAGGTCGCCTCGCTGGTCCTGCGGGGACAGGAGCAGTGCCCTCTGCAGTTTGTGGTGGAGGAATCGGGCTTTTTAGTACTTCATTTATTTATTTTTCTGAAGATAGTATGTTTTCACCTGAAGGTCTCGGCTGGTGATGCTCTTCTCCGCCCCACAAAACTCCCTCCAGTTACTCAGGGCCCTGCGGTGCCTAAAATCTATGAATTTAGAAAGGGAAAATGCAGAAGCCTCAAAACTTTGCATTTCTGCGCAGCTCGGTGAGGGTTTTTCTCCTGAGTTTTCTTCCTGAGTTTTTCTCCGGTGCCATTACAGCTGAAAATGTTTAACCCCCCCGCACGGCAAAGAGCTGCAAACACAAAACCGGTTAAACTAGCAAAGCTGCTCGGAGTCACACGAGGGTTCCTGCAAGGCCCCTCTCCAACGCCTGTCCCTGAAGGAAGCGGCAAAGAAAGCTTTTATCGGATCCAGCCTGCTAGAGGGCAGAGGAGACGGCGTGCGCCCAGCAGCGACGTGCTTGCAGGGATGCGCCGGGAGTTTCCCTGTGTGCCCTGAGATCCAGCCTGGGAACGGGCACCTGCGGGACGGACAAGAGAAGGATTCAGTGTCCCGGGAGCAGAGCTGGGATGTTCCCGGGGGCTGATCCCAGGGCTGCAGCTGGCTGCCTCTGCCTGACCCTCAGCGAGCGCCAGGCACTGGAAGAGATTTCCAACAGCAGCTTGGGCTGATAAATCCCTGCCGCTGGGCAAACAGCCTAAGCAGAGGGAGCTGGTTTTGCTTTGTTTTAATGCAAAGCAGCTCAGGGCTTGCCCAGCTTGGAGAGAGTCATGGAATCACAGAATCGTAGAACCGTTGAGGTTGGAAAAGACCTTTAAGCTCATCCAGTCCAAC